AAAAAAAAAAAACTCTGTTTCCTGAAGGAACATGCAGCGAAAATGGTGCTGGAAAAAACTAGACTTCCTTTAACGGGCTTTTTTTTTTTTTATTAGCGTTTGTCACTGGTTTGTAGAGAGTTGTATCTGACAATACGATATGTATCGCGATACAATGTATTGCGATCTTCTGTGATACGACGATATATTGAGGTGATTTTCCCCCCAGTGTCTCTGTAGTCCCAGTGTGATCCTAGTCTCAGACTCTGTTCCATCTGTACATCAGTTCCTAACACTGGAACAGAGGGATCTACATTTGGAATCACTAGAGAAGAAAGAAAAGAAAAAGAAAAAATAGACATCACAGATGTGGGCGGGGCTTCAGCTTGAAGACGACACATCATGTGGTCTTGTTTGTTCTCACCACCACAGTCCAACCCACTCCATATTCCTGCCTCTGTATTCCACCGCTGTATTCATTTAGTTATTGTAGAGACGGTCTGTGTTGGCCCCCCCCCCCCCCCCCCCCCCGGGGGGCTTCCAGCCAGTAGCTGCGGCTCTAACTGCCTCCACTCAGCAAACATTAACAAGTCAACACTGATAAAACTGGAGCTGTTGTTCCAGAGACGATGATAAAAAAAAGCCCCAGATGTGGACAGGAGGGCAGGATGTAGCTGTTTGGGTTTTTTGGGGGGATATTTTGTCTGGATTTTAGCAATTAGCTAAAGTTTAGCTAAAGTTTTTGGCTATCCTGTTCTCGGCTAACTTTGAGCTACCTTCATGAGTCCAGCTTTGGATTCTGTCGACGGATACTGATGGTTTTGGTTCTTTTTGATATGTTTGTCACGGTATCACATTTTATTTTTAGCTAAATTAATTGCAATCGCATTGATTCCTTTTTCTTTAGGCTAACTTTTAGCAGTTTGGACCTTGACCCAAATTATTGTTTTTTGTTTTTTTTTACCTTCTGCTTCTGTGCTTCTTTTTCAACTTTTTCCCAACATGGAACCGTGTTCCCACTGATTTCCTGCAGTAGATTCAAAAACAAATCACAAAGTAATTCCAGACACATTCTGGACATTTTTTCCCGAGTTATTAATTTCCGATTCAGTGATAATTGTTAATAATTTAGTTCAACTAAAAGAATATATTTTCCTCCGACCGTCGCACATTTGCAGCGTTCTGGCTCCAGAAACCTGAGCCACTCCTGGTGATGCCAGCTGTTGTGGTTTTAAAAGCTGTGGTGTTTCTGTGTGAATGGCTCTCTCTCACAAACACACACACACTACGACACACACACACATAGCAGACAGGCTGGCAGCAGTTGTCATCGAGACTGAGGGAGAAAAGAGAGACCGCAGGATTATCCTAACGGTTTACTGACACCCAGATGGCACCATGGCCTCCCTCCTTGTCCCCCACCTCACCCGCCTCACCCACCTCCCCTTCCTTAGTGACTGACATTAACCAGCCAATTAGATTCCCTCCTGTGTGCTGTCAAACCAAATTCTAGCTCTACTTGCTGAGTTGGAACCAATTACGTTTCTGTCAGTGACGACTGTCCGCACGAATCTACTCCTTTCATGCTGGCGGTTTGATCAGTTTGTCCTCTGGGGGCAGCGGTGGGGGAATTATGCTAGAGAGTTTGTTAATATGAACTGACACATTTTTAAAGATTTGTTTTAACAAAATTTTATTTTCTGCAGAGGTATTTTTATTGTTTTGGAATTTGAACTAATCCGTATCTGTAAAAATAGATTAATAAAATGAGCTGCAATGCTGCCATCTAGTGACTTTCACTTTCATACACAGCCGTTTTTCCCCAAAACTATTTTTAGGGCACATGTCATTTGGGTGAAACCCAGACGTTGCGTTATCGGGTTTTCATTATCGGAGGAAAAACCGATAATGATTCTCACAGATCTTACATAATTATGCTAACATCGGGCCAATAATATCAGTTAGCCGATATTATCGGGCATTCCTAAACAAAATCAAAGTCGCAGCTTTTCTTTTTTTTTTTTAAATGTCGATTTCTCTGGTAACATCTTCAAATTCAGCTGTTGTGGTGAAGAAGCTGGAACTGTACGTTTCCACAGCGACAGTCGTTCCTCGTGTCACGATGTCGTCCCTGTTGATTGGTTTCTGCAGCTGAATCTTCTCCACAGGCTGGACGTCTCACACACACACACACACA